TAAAACTGTGTTATATTTAATCAACAACTTCATATTAATTAATGACTGTTGAAATATTTTAAAGCTTTGAATGTTACCATGCTTTTACCATGTCATTACTGCATTTATGAAAATAAAATTCAAAAATACTTTAATAAATTTTAAATTACATATAAAGACTAGTTATGTTTTGTATTTTAAAACTGATGAGAAATCGTATTTGAATGGTATTTTGTTTAAATGTATAAGAGCATTTCCTCTTAGAATTACTAGCTTTAACAACAGGAATGAATTGAATTAAAATTATTCAAATCTATTACTCACAATTATTCAAAATGAGTGCAAATTATTAAAACCTTTACATTTAATTCTAACAAAACAATAACATTAATGTGCTCTGAAAATCTTTCAAATAAGATAAATTCATTGTACTTGCATAAACTTCAACGTTCAGCCAATTAAAGTGATATAGTTTGCATGCTGCAATGCTTTACCAATAGGTGTACAAATTCAGATATACCCATAATATTTTCATAGATGTTTTAAAACTTCAATGGTAATTTTATAAGTATTTTTCACACTTGAAAGTCATGTAACAAACATAAATAATTAAGATGCAAAACTATTATCTTACCAGTACATTTGAGTGACACTGCTGTGGAAGATTGACAGGCTGAACTGTATCAACATAAGGGCAACACAAAAAGAAGACTTATTAAACAAGATCATACATAAAACATATCATTAACCAGTCATTAAATGGGTTCTATTTAGTATTTTACAATTGGTCTCAGATGTCCCCAAAATATATCAGCTCATTATACCTTACGATCATTTATTATATGATGTAAATGCTAATTTTTGAGTATAAGCAACAACAATAAAAGTACTGTAATTGTATGTCTTTAAATGCAAATGAGCAAAATGTGGGAGGAGCCTTTACAGCTCATGCCTCGGATACTCAGTCGACAAAGAAACAAAACATCTGCATGCATTTAATACCAAATTTAAAGTGCAATCAGAAACGTTACAGAAATCTGACTCGCTGAAAAAAACATTCATTGGATTTACTCAATTTTCTTAAGGTAAGTGGCTGCAAACAATTTATATGAGCTGAATTTAAACAAACAATAAATAATACATTTAAATTTCAAATGTTTTTCTTTAAAGTCCTGTGATGAGATGATGCCAACCATAGAAGACGTCTAGAGGTCTCCATAAACCTGGACCAGGCCATATCCTGAGCAGATGCTGTGGTGGTCGTGGAGGAGTGGAGAGCATGAAGCAGGTCGCACACCAGAAGCGCCGCTCGGCGCCGCGACACGGCGCGTACATGACAGTTTAAAGTATCACCCAC